CCCCGCAGATCCACAAGCACATAATAAACGCCAAAAGAAACTGTCTCATTCTGGTCACATCTTGAACGCAGACCATTCTCTTATTATGAGAAGGAGCCACATTCAAGTCCTCGGCTCATGGGCAACATCTGGGTTACTTGCAAGCACTGAAAAAGTTGCTGGGAAGTCGGTCAAGTCTCTCCCTCCCGCGGCCGACGATGCACAAAAGTGCATTCAGTCTGGTCACGGTGGAGTTTCATTCACGTTTCTTCAAGCTGGATGCAAGAGAGACTCGCCTTTTTTTTTCCGGGAGCGGCATCTGCTAGTTTTTGTAGGTTTAGGCTTTTTTTCTTTCTCTCCGTAAAGGAGAAATCTTTTGTCCTTCTCAACATGCACGTAAAAAAAAAAAAAAGACTCCCGACCACCACATCCCGAGAGAAACGGTCACGCTGGAAAACGCAAGACACGCGTGCCTCTCGGAAGACTTCCACTCCGGGACTGGCGTGCCTCTCCCGCCGCAGCCCAGCGCCTCTCCCCAAGGGATGCAGGCACGTCCCGCCCGCCCGGCTGCCCATCCCGCACGGGGCACTGCCCTGCCCGCTCCCAGCTCTTCCCATCCGCGGGAAGCGGCGGGGCAGAAACACCCGCGGCACAGCACTACCGCACAGCTCGGTCCCGGCGGGCGCAGCCCGGGGACCACCCCCGCCGCCTCCCCGCTGCCCGCGCGGCTCGGAGCGCGGGGCTCCGGGACGAGCTGCCCGCCGCCGGCCCGGCCCCGCCGCAGCCACGAGCCGCGGGCCCGAAACGGAGACAAAAAGTTTTGCGCGGGCCCCTCCGGCCCCGGGAAGGGGCAGAGGCGGCGGCGCCCCGGCGAGCCCACCGCGCCCCCCGGCATCGCGCCCCCGCAACCAGCCGCGGGCACCGCACCCCCGCAACCCCCGGCTCCCCGCCGCCGGCAGCGCGCCCCCGCAGCCCCCGGCCCCCCGCCCGGCCCGCCCCCAGCCCCGCGCTGCCCCCGCGCACCGCCGGTCTGCCCACGGCCACGGCCATCGCGGTGCGGTGCTGAGCGCTGCGCCCTGCGCTGCCGGCCCGCCGCTCTGCGCCGCCTGCTAGCACTGCAACATGGCCACCCGGCGGGGAGGGCCCATGCGCAATGCAAAGGGGCCGGGCGGCGAGGCGGGACCCCCCCGGCCCTCCCGCGGGCACAACGGGCAGCGCGGGCGGCCGGCCGGCGCCGCCCCGCCGCTCGGGGAGCCCCGAGAGCCGGCTGCGGCCCCGCGGGGCTGCGCTCCATCCCCGGCGGTGACTGCGCTAATCCCTCTCCCGCCCGCGCCCCCCGAGCCGGGCCGCTGGTACCGTCCCCGTCACCCCAGAGGGTCACTCTCTCCCACCCTGGCAGCCCCGCAGCTTAAAGCACAGCCCCGTGTGCTCCAGGGATCCTTGATGGCCAAGCAACCGACCGACAAGGTTCTGCTGCCACCAGTTCGGTGAAGAACGAGGCTGGGGATTCGGCAACGAGATACTCGTAACAGAGAGGCACACAGGAGCCCCTGACGCCCTTGCATAACGACACAGAGGGCAAAACTTGACACCTCGCTCCTCTCGTTTCTCCGAGCTCTCCTGTGAAACACACATTCTGTTTTTCAACCAACTGGGCATACCAAACAACAGCCATGGCGGCCAGTCGCTCTCCCACTCCACAAGTGATTTCCAAGGACGAAGTGAAGCCCAGCTGGCTCCTTGCCGATCCACCTGATAAAACACTTAACATCCCGGTGCGAAGCATGACATCCCTTTACCTGCAAACGTGGGAGTCTTAGGGCTAAACTTAATATGTCTGCTTGCAAATCTTCAACCAAGGTAGTGATGAAGCCCTGCAGTGCTTTGTGAAGCATAAAACCTCAGAAGGCTAGGGAAGACACAGACCCAATTTGCTGCACACATGAAGGATACATTGAACTACAGACATATCAGAGCTACTCCCATATGTGAACATCCACCCAACCAAACCAAAAAAGCCAGCAGGATAAAAGCTGAGAGCACCTCCTACAAGCAAACAACCCCAGGGAGCAGTAAGCAAATAGACCTCAGCAATGCACTTACCATTTGTACACTCTTTGATATCAAGCTCATACCTTTTCCCTCCAAAACCCATTTTTGTGGGGCCACGAAGAAGCACGTGGCTGTTTGCCGAGGGCTACAGAGTTTCTCCTTCCTGTGGCTTTTTTTGATCAGGTTTGGAAGAACTCGGGAGCTGATCTTCCAGAGTGGTCACCCCCAGCCTGAGGCAGAAACAATGGAAGTGCACGAGCACTACCCGGCCCCGCCGCCCATCAGGGGCTGAGCGTCTGCACCTGGGCAGTGCCCTTAACTCGGCACAGCTGCAGCCATCACTGGCACAGCTGCTACACCAACGGACCCTGAGGGGGTTCTACCCGGAACGTTCTGGAAGCAGAGCTGATGCAGTGCTTTTATGACACACACATCTTAGGTGTTCATGCTAATATCCGAGGGAGGCTTCGATATTAGACTCATTATTGCTCTTGTAGCAAACTCCTCCCGCACACAGGGCTCCAGGTGAGGAGGTGCTGAGCGTGCCTGCACTGGGAAATGCGCTCGGACCAGTGCAGCCCCTAGTGGAAACACCCGACGATCGTATCTCAAGAGGTGTCCTCATTGCACCTGTGGGTGAGGCAGACACTGCTTCCCCTGCTCTGAATTAGAGGCACGCATGATACTCCTGCATCAGCACAACTTAACCAACACGAAAATCTCCTTCACTCGCAAACCCTTGATGTGACTCACCGTGTCCTTCCTTGGCCCGGGGCTGGGAGAGCTGTGGTCGAGTTGCCTCCACGATACTCAGGCATACACACTTCCCTGGGTATGGCTGTTCATGCTGAAAGAGCAGGGGAGGAAAAAAAAAACCATCAACACCAAGAAATGTTCTGCAATCTTTCCAGATCTCAGTTAGTGTAGTTCCTTGCATTCCTAGTGTTCACTGGGAAGAAGCAGACCCCTAGCTCCTGAAAGTTTCATAACTGCTGCTAACAAATCGTTTCCCAAGAAAAGGGAATGGCCAGTCCCTCATCCTAGAGACCCCACAGGAGTTTTTTCCATGTTTCCAAAGTTGTTTGACATCATTTTGTAGACACGGCAGGTCAGCGTTTAATGCCCTTTTGTATCAGTTGCAGGGCAATTTGTCAGTTAAAGGGGATGAGAAGATACACAAGCAGACACAGAAGTTTGGTAACTTACCTCCTGTTTATGAACAAACACGGGTACATAGCTCACTAAAGGCAACACCTTATCACACAACAACAGAAAGCTACCAGACTAAGTGGTGGGCTTATTTTTGATTCTTTCATGGTGAAGTAATGCTTGGTCCTGCCTCCGTTTTGTGATTCTGACTACCATGAGCTCACTCAAATTTCACCCAAAGAATCAAGAGACCTGCTGTTGAGATGGGAGTAAAAACCCCATCTGAAACCAGGACAATGTGATATCATGGAGAGCCTCCTGCTTATGCTTCAGTTCATTAAGCCAAAGCAACGCTTTCGTAGTTGTATTGTCATGTACCACTGTTGTTTACTTGGATTTTTTATCTTCACAACCTACCCTCCTTTCTTATTTGTGATCACAACTACACCATTATGCTCTATTCATTTCATCTCAGACGCCTCCACTGAGAGTGTGCTGCTAACAAACACTGTTTTGACTGCAATCCAGGGCTCATCAGAAGAGGAGGGAGAAACATATTTATGCCTGGAAGAACTGCATCAAAAGCACGTACAAAATGATAAAATATGAACATAAGCCTTTACCCTCTTCCCAGCACCTGTGCCCTACCCAGATGAACACCACTGATGGGATGTAGCTCGCACACATCATCTATTGCAATCTCTGCCCGTGGTTTGTGAGGGTTTGCAGCAGGCTGGAGGATATTCCAGCTGCTTACATGACAGGCAGCTAAAAATATTTATGGATAGCTGGGAGCCTGCAGCAGAGATGGTTTCTGGAGCGTGACTTAGGGCCTGATCCAGACCTCTTTAAAGCCAGTGAGCTTACACTGAGCTCAGTCCCTCCACGCCTCTGTTCTATGATGGTAAGGCAGAAAATCCAGCACACCTTCTCTCCTAGACTTTCCACCCACTATCCACTCCCCAGACTCCTCGGGGCAGGGGCTGTCAGTTGTTTGGTGCGCACAGGGCACGTTGCCCACCGGGGCTCTGACTTTCCCCATCCCTCTCAGCTGTTACAGACACATTTGTGATAACAGAATTAGCACTAAAGAACAACGTGAGATCCCCACACTGGTACAACGTGTGTCCAGCCTATCTCAGCCCCGCAGCGGATACAGAGATGAGATGAGATATGATTTGACTGCAGGCACTCTTGGTATTTGTATGTGGTTGTCGTACATGGGTACAATCCCACACACTTGTAATATCAGCTCACTCGAACCACAGCACGTTCATGACTCTTTATTGCCAGTTTTCCTAAGTAGCTGAATCACAGGGCAGTTCAGGTTGGAAGGCACCTCTGGACACGGTCTGGTGCAGTCCCTTCTCAGGTGTCCCATGGAGCATCTCCTGAGAATGGAGACCACAACCTCTCTGGGTAAACTGTTCCAGTACTTGACCACCCTCACTACAAAATAGTTTTTCCTCACACACAAATGGAACTTCTTGCATTTCAGTTTGTGTCTATCGTCTCCTGTCCGTTCACTGACATAATGACTGATAAACCACTCTTTCTTCTCACCACCTGCCAGCAAATGACCCTCGCAATTCTCAGCTCCTCCAGCCCCCGTATCCTGCTTTTCCCCTTTCCTGTCACCCCAGCTCGCCGCCCCAGGGGCCACCACCCCGGGCAAAGGCGACCGGGCGGTGGCGGCCCGACTGCGGAGGAGGAGGCGGAGAGGCCCGGCGCGGCAGGAGGCGGGTTTCCCCGCCGCACCTGGATTCAGCGCCGAGCACCGAGGCACAGCACGGAGCACCGAGAGCCAGCCGGCCCGGAGCATGGCGCGGGAGCTGAGCCAGGAGGCTGTGCTGGACTTTCTCTGGGCGGCCGGGGGGCGAGCCCCCAACTCGGCGCTGCTCCGCCACTTCCAGCGCTTCCTTCGCGACCCGGCGCTGACGGAGCAGCAGCGGCGGGAGCGCCGCGAGTATTTCAAGAGCCTTGTCAACTCCCTGGCCACCGTCCACCCCGCCGCCGCCCCCGGCGCCTCCAAGGACATCGTCCTCCGCCGCAGGTACCGCGACCTCCTCGATGAGGAGCTGCCGCCGCCGGAGGAACAGCGGGAGGAGGCAAAGAAGGAGCCGGAGCCGCCGCCGCCCCGACGCGACCCCGACGGGCGGCGCGGCCCCCGAGGGGAGGCGGCGGAGCAGGGGCGGCCCTGCGGGGGGCAGCCCCCGAGGAGTGCCGCCGTGCTGGGGGGCTGCTCCGCCCGGGGCCGCGGCGGTCCCTGCTGCGAGTGCCGCCGGGCGCGCCGCGCTGCTGCCGCCGCCGCCGCCGCCGTCCCCTCGCCGGGCCCCGGGGCACCGCCCCCCGCCGGGCCGCCCCGCTCCCTCTCCCCGCCGCCCCCCAGGCAGCCGCCCCCGTACCGGACCCAGCCGCTGTCCTCGGGGCCCTGGGCGCTCCGCCCCGGCGGCACACCGCGCTCCCGGCCCCCGCTGCTCCCCTCGGCTCCTGGGGCTCTGGCCCCCGCTGTGCCGCCCCGGCCCCCATCGCCGCCGCTGCCTGCCGCCGGGCCGCCCTCTGCCACATCGTCCCGCTCCCGGTCCCCACCGCTGCCGTCGGGCCCGGGGGTGCCTCAGCCCCGGCCGTCGCCGCAGCCCCCGACCGGGATGCCCCTACTGAAGGCCCCAGCGCCCACAGCAAGCCTGAGGGGGCCACCCCCCACCGGACCCTCCCAGTCCCCGCAGCTGTCATCGGGCCCCAGGGCGCTGTCCCCCACCGAGCTGCCCCCATCGCGGTCCCTGCCGTTGCTGTCCGCCCCGGGGGTGCTGCCCCTGTCCCGGTCCCTGCAGGCACTCCCTGCCAGCCCCTCCTCATCCCCACTTTTATCAAGCTCAGAGGTGCTCCCTTCCACCAGGCTGCCCCCATCACAGTCCAGGTCCCTGCAGCAGCTCCCCACCAGGCCATCCCCAGTCCTGCCGAGGGGATTCAGGGGGCTGACCCCGAACGGACCAACCCAACCTCAAGTCCTGCTGCTGTACCCACGCCAAACCCTCACACTGCCGTCAGGTCCTGGGGTCCTACCCCCTACCAAGCCACCCCCATCCCAATCCCTGCCACACTCCCCCACTCAGCCAGCTCCATCCCGCTCCCTGCAGCCACCCTCTTCCAGGCCACCTCCATCCCAGCCCTTGCAGCCAGCACAGGGCCCAGTAGCGCCCCAAGCCCCAGAGAGCTGTCCCCCAGCACCGCTGCCTGTCTTCAGGAGCATCAGGTGCCAGCTCGCTTTGTCGGAGGTGCAGAGCACGCCCCCATCGCTGCCCGAGGAGTGTGGGCGGCAGCCCCGCACCACGCTCTCCAAGAGCTCCTCTAGAAATGCCCTAAGCCGGGGGCCATCGGTGCCACTGGGACAGCGGGAGCACGCCTGGCTAGTGGCGATGTCAGCGGGGTGCTGGGCACGCGTGCGGGGGCTGTTTCTGGAAGAGCCGGAGCTGGCCCTGCTGCGGGACTTCATGTCAGGCTTCACGGTGCTCCACTGGCTGGCCAAGCACGGCGACGGGCCCGGCCTGCAGGAGCTGGCGGCGGCGGCGCGGCAGGCGGGGCTGGCCCTGGACGTGGACGCCCGCTCGGGCTGCGGGTACACGCCGCTGCACTTGGCTGCCATACACGGCCACCAGCTTGTCATCAAGGTGCTGGTGCTGCAGCTCGGCTGCCAGGTGCAGGTGCGGGACAGCAGCGGGCGCCGGCCCTGGGAGTACCTGCGTGGCTCCACCTCGGGGGAGATCTGGCAGCTCCTGGAGGCACCCCGTGGCATAATTATGTTCCCCACGCAGCCCCTGGCCCGCAGCGTGTCCTCTGTCAGCAAGGTCTCGCTGTCCACTGGCAGGGCAGCGCTGCCCTCCTGCCTCAAGGTGCAGCATGGCCGTGGGGCAGCATCCCACCGATCCAGCAGCGAGAGTGACTGACGGACGGCTCCCTGGCATCCCCTGCCAGTGGAGACGGGACCTTGGGGGCCATCCTGCGAGAGGAAGCCACGCAGGCAGAACTAAGCTGTGAAACAGACTGAACCTATTGCAGAATGTACTTTTAAATTATTCCAATGAATCGTTGTCTAAGCCTCTCTGCCCTCCCTCCCCTTTCTTGCTTTTCTACCCGTGAGAGGATGCAGCGACTCTGCTGGAAGCTGGCAGAACCCTTGGGAATCAAGTCCTCTGCTGCCCACAGGGCTGGCACCAGCTGCTGGGTGCAGCCCCGGTCACCAGTTAGTGGGACCATGGGTCTGGGGTGAAGCTCAAGCCTGGCCCCAAGCAGGGTGGAGCACTTGCTTTTGCTGACAGTGACAGATTGTTGTTGGTCCTGGTGTTTGCAAAACACTTGTTTACACCACCTAAATTCTGGGTAGTGGTAAAACTGCATCCCTTTTTAATCCCAGCAGATTAAGGATGAGTCCCGCTTTTAAAAATGCAGCTGATCAAGATCCAGCCTTCCAGCAAGAGTCCTCAGAGAGCCACTGGCTGGGGCAGAGGGTGGCAGTGGGAGAGCCTGGAGTAGGGAAAGGTGTTTCCCAGGCCACCTTGCCCACCAGCCCATGCCCAAAGGAATGCAGGGCAGCATCACAGCCCTGCTCCCCTCCACAACTGCCCAGGGCTGCCCAGCAGCATGGATGCCTCTCCCTCATTCCTGCAACTCCAGCCGCTCTCCTCACACCACAGGACTAGGAAGCGGTCCCCACACTGTGGGTAGAGCCCTGTTCCCACGCCTGGGCATGGAAAGCATTGCAGCAGGAGTCTCTGTTGGGCAGAAATGGAGCTGGGCTGTAGCACGGGTCCCAGGCTTGCAGGGGGAAGGCAGGTTCATAACCAGAGCTGCATTTCTCCAGAGACCCCAGCCCCAAATTGCCTATTAGGTATTCATGTGATGGGAGCAGGTGGGACTGGGGGGCCAAGTGCAGTGAGGAGATATCCAGTGCAGTCATTCCTCAGAGCTTACAAATAACAAGCTGTCTTTGGGAATATCACTGGATTACGTGGGTCCTACAATGTGGTCTGCTCTCTGATTTAGCACAAATGAGCTTCTAAAGCATCAAAAATGCAATAAGTTAATCTTGCAGCTACCCTGGCTCTCCTATAGATCCTCTTTGAAGGCAGGAAGAGAGCTAAGATTCATGAGGCAGAGATCCATCACTCCCTGGTTGGTGCTCCTGCTGCTGGGTGACCCCAGCTGTAGGACCAGTGAAACCGGGGCTGCTGGCTCTGTGTCAGTGGGAGGCTTTGGAGCAGACCACAGCAGGAGGTGGGACTGCTCATGGATTTGAGGCATGTGCCTAAATGGCTGCAGTTTCGGGGAGGAACGGGAATGAGGGCAGCAGAACCTGACCCTTGCATAACACGCGTGCCAGGGAATGCCTCGAGTCCTTGCTCAAGCACTAATTGAGGTCTCCGCTTTGCTCCGGGTTTATTTGAGGGAGGAACTCTTTCCTGCAGAAGGGAAGCTACTCTGCCTGACTCTGTGGCCATGAAAGGCTGGGGCCTTTTCCCAGCTAGGTTTTCTCTTTTTACAGGGGAAAGAGCTCAGTAAACCAAGGCAGTGTCCTGTCAATGATCATTCCTCTCTGAGAGGACAACACAAACTTGAACTCATAAGAAATTCAACTCTAAAGTGGCCTCTGAGCCACTGGCACGGGCACCTGGAGGGCCCTCCAGGACTTCCCTGCAGCAGAAGGAATCCTGTGTATCTCCCTTCCCCTTCAATCCAGCTGGGGATTATGGAGCCTTCCTATACATGGAACTTCATGGAAGGAACCCCAAATGAAAGAAGTTTGTGAGCTGACTAAAGCCGTCTGATGGGAGCATATTGGTTCTCCACAGACACCTGCAGCTTCCAAAGGATAAGGTTTTCCCCCTTCCGTGCTGCTGGGACAGTGCTGCCTTGGGATTCTCATTTTACAGCCTTTCCACGACCTTCCTCTGTGATGCAAACCTAAGTGGCACTTTGTTTTTCTGCACACTGTTGCAGACCTCACTGTCATCTTTTTCAGAGCCCTTTTCTCTCCCTAGCAGTGTTGTTAGGCTGCTGAACTAAATAAGTCGTGACCTAATTTTGTGCCCACTGGTTGCTTGCCAGTTGAGATGACACAGATAAGCCGCTTTCTCCAATTTTTAAATTACAAGGCAACTGTCAGGAAGTTTGAAACTGAGAAAAACTTTCCATACTGGATCCATTGTGCATTCACTCTGGCTTATCACCTTAGTGATATTAGAACTGTTAATATTGGTAATACTGCACAGCTCCTACACCACATTTTCAAAGCAGTCAGTCACTGCTTGTGGCAATGACCACTCTTTTAACCCACAGAAAGCCTCATCCTCCAAGTTTTGTGCTGGTGAAATAAGCAATGGGCAGGATGAAACCCATCTCCAGCCCACTGTGGAAGGCAGGGCCAGATCTTTTATCAGGCATGCCTGGAGGAATCACATTGCCACCCCGGTGCATCATAGATCCAGTCACCCAGGAATAATCCACCTCTGGGTATACACACATGCAGCCTGAGCATCTCAGTTTCAAAGCTCTCCTGACCTCCTTACTACTTACTTGTCAGCCTGCCTGGCCACTTCCACACCTGTGCACCCTCCTGTTTCCTCATTGCAGCTGGACGTGGCTCCTGGATTCACACCCAATCCAGGCATCTGACTTTGCACCACCCTGAAACACAGGACATGTCATAGATTAATGCACAGCAGGACTCTGCCCTCTCCTCTCATTGCATTTGAAGACACACCTCCCACTTGTCAGCTGCTGATGATAAAGTCCACCCCTCTGCTCTTTAATGCTTATCTCTGACCGACTGCTTTGTACTCCAAAACCCACGGCCTTCAGAGGAGGGGGGTGTTTTTTCACACAGTGGCCTTTGCCCATCACATCCTGCCAGGCCTGAGCACTCAGAGCCTTACAAAGCTATGGTGAAGGTAACCCTGAAGGCTCAGTACCCCCTTGTCACCACCCCCCTGCTCCTGGGGCACACACTGTTGCACACACTCATCAGATTGCTAAAGGCAGACAGCACAGCAGAGCTGGATGTGCATCTTGTGAAGGCCTTGATTACGTTCCCAAATTGTGGCTCTGGTGACACTCATGTCACAACCTTCCCTCAGGAGCTGCCCAGGTGAGCTGGCAGTCCAGTGTGATTGCACAGCTACTAATGAAGTCTGTTTGTCCATTGCCAGCTGGCCTTTGCCTAGAGGGTCCTTGTCACTTAAGCCCAACAGAATGGCTTCTTAAACACCAGGAGCTGGAGAACAGTGCTTACACCAGCACCCAGCAGTGCTGGATGGGTCACCCAGCACAGAACAGGGAGCAGTCAGCTGCAGTCCCATTTTGGGGCAGGGCTATTCCCTGAACATACGAAGCTCCTCCCACTCAGCAAATCAAGAGGAGCTTCCCACCTGCAAACACACCAAATGTACACTGAGCTTCCCAGTCCGAGAGCAGAAAGCTGGGAACAAATTGCTGTGCTTCAGTTCCGGTTTTTTTACAAGCCTCTGAACAAGGACCAAAGGCTGGAGCAGTGGTGGGAGCCCAGCTCAAACAACCCCAGAGGCTTTCTTGCAATTAAAGAAGTGTCCCTGGGCAAAGCGGATGAGCAATAGCACAGAGCACTGGCAACCCAAGCCAAAGGCCAGGGCACCCTTTGTATCACAGCACTTTATGAAGCAGAGAGAAAGAGAACTTGTAGAATTAAAAAAAACCCCCAAACCCGTCACTGAAAAGTCCATCATACAAAATGCACTTTTTTCTACTGTGATGAATGCTATTTGAATGAACTAGTTTGTATACAACTCCACAGTGAGAAGAAAGTCTTGCACACTTTTGGGAAGTAATGAGACAACCCCAATTGCTACTAAATCCCAGTAAAGTTAGAATTTCTCATGACTACATTTCCTGCTAGTAGCAGCAGATGGCAGCTTAGCAGAGTGGGGTTTACAATAAGAACCCCCCCTCTGCAATGAACAGTACAGTTTTCTCCAGCCCAAATTTCCCCATTAAATGAAAATCGTTATCCTTTCAGGGAAAAATATTTTCTTTGGAAAGTGGGTTCATTGGAAAGCACTAAAAGCAGAATTCTTAGTTTGGTTAAATTAATACCCCTCATTCCCAACATGAGGCTATTTAAGCAAAGAAAATGTGTTTTACCATTAATTTAAAGGAATGTATTTTAAGATACCAAGAAAGGTTTGCTGGTGAGGCAGTATTGCATTAAATACTTAACTGAGCACATACTGCAGTAGCCTCTCTGCAAAGATGCAGAGGCATGATTTTATGCAGGTTATTTTTTTCATTAGAGCCATTAATTTGACCTGGTAGAGAAAACTTCTTTCTGGGTGGTTTAAATAAGCCTAGGGCTCATGGTACTTTAAATCTGGATTGGATTTTGGCAGAGGCATTTTAGCTCCTAATGTCTATCAAGGCTTTCTTACTCTACAGCCTGTCCATAAAACATAAGCGAACTGCTTAAGAAGCAACTTGTTTAAGAAGTCAGAATTTCTGTTGTGAAGGGAACACCCACCAAAACCATAGGCAAGGTTCTCCACACAAGCTGTCAGGCTGTGTGGCCTCAGCTGGCATTTCTAAGGCTGCCATGGGAAGCAAGGGCCAAAATCCTTTGAGCTTCCTCCTTGCTGCAGGGCCTCTGTGAAAAGAGTTCTTCGTTTAAATATTTTCTTTTGGCTTTCCTGACACGCGGTTCTAGACTGAAGGAATGTTCTGGTGGATTTGATACCACAAGAGGTGTTCTATGGTCTTTAATGTAGCCTGGAATATTCTAGTGAAAGTGGGAATTAGAAGAATTTGAATTAGTGTGTGGAGTCCCATAACAACGCTGCAGGGGACAAATAGCTTTGCACAGCCAAGCACAGGGCAGGTGTTATCTCAGGTTGTCCAAAGTCCACGTGGGAGTTGCACGTCACTG